TCAGGAGACAAACGAGGGTGGCTTAGAGCTTGGTGGAGACAGTGCAGTAAGAAGCAGTGGCATGTGATACACTTTAAAGCCCGAGCCTTTAAAGGCTGAGTCTTTAAAGTGTATCACATGCCACTGCTTCTTACTGCACTGTCAGGATTGCTGATGTAGGGGCGAAGGATGGGGTCCTCAGAGTCACCCAGTTATCTGCTCCTTATTATGCCTGATTCACATGTGTGTGCATTTTAATCCTTCCTTACCTCGACCTGGGATGTCTCCTGTGGCAGGTAGAGGTATTTGGCTCCTGGAGCTGTGGAGAAGAGCATTGGGGTTGGGCTGATGAATGGACATTGGCGTCCAGCTTCCTGCAGCCTCTGAAAAAAATCACACCCTAGGGTCTCATTGCTCCCTCTTAGGTCTTCAGCACCTTTCCCTGAGCACAGATGAGGCTGCAAGAGCACCGAATATCTAAGAAGGGGGATTTGAATCTAGACCTCCGGAGAGACATTGCACTGCAGCCTACAGGGTAGCCAGGCACTGGGCTGGACACTTCGGTTTTTTAATTCTTAAAAGTGGCCCAGAGTCCTCAGTCCTGCTACAATAAGCAAACTGAGGATCCCAAGGTTATATAGCCAAGACTTGAAGTTTTTGGGGCCAATAGTGCCCAGGGTGGGAAGGCCCAGAGTTCTTGGGCTGAGCCCTTGGCTTGGGGTAGGGGAGGGTACTTGTGTTCTCAGTCTGGGGCTCTCCTCTCCCTGCCCTCACCACAGGGGCAATCTTGGTGCTGCTGTCATTAGCCAGCCCCTAGGGGTTCTTCCACAGAATTCTGCATTTGAAAAAAGACTCCCCGCCTCCTCCAGGAGGTGGCTGAGCCTAAGACTCTTCCTTTGTGGGAGGCGGGGAACCTTTAAGACCTGATGCCTCCTACCCCCATCCCCCAACCTATTGTCCTCCCTTGCCCCTTGGAGGAGGGGTGGAGATGGAAGGAGATGTCCCCAGGAATGCAGTTAGGACTGGAACGGAAGCTGGAAGCTGGGCATGGGAGGCTCTTAGTGCCCTCCTGGACTAGCCCTGCTCAGTGGGATGTGCCCAGGTGCACTGGGAAGTAGGTGCTAGGAGCCCCTGGGACCACCCCCCCACCCTACCATCCCCCCTCTCCTTTCCCACCCACCCCCATCTTGAGATCTATAGAGGCTCCTCAATTGTTGCAGTTGAATTAGTAAAACAATAACCACCTTTATGTGTCTTCCTGGTCTTGGGAGGCAGCAATTGTCTTGGCCATTTTGGAAAAGAGGAACCTGCCCTCTGCTTTTTGTGGTTATTCGAGTTGGAGAAAGGTGGAGAAGTTCTGGGAGCTTCTAGGGCCTGGCTCCTTGCCCCACCCCACCCCCTCATTCCCCCTGCTCTGATCCCTGAAAGCACCTGTGGGAGGAGGGGCAGAGATCCCAGGGGCCGGGCTACCATCTACACCCAGGATAGGCTGGGGCCTGGGAGGAAACAGGTGTTAGCAAAGTATTTGCATGGGGCTGAAAATTCCCCTGCCTCTTGTGTTTTCCAGCTCAGAGCCTTTGAACCTTTCCCCACCTAAAAATAGAATCAAGCCATTGTAAGGGTGTGAGTGCCCAGCCCTGCTGGGGACTGGGCTATGGGCGGCCCTGGGTTCCAGCACAGGAGCCTCTCGGGAGGCTGTGAGGCCTGACTGGGGACGCTCGCCCTCAAGTCCTGGGCTACAGGAGTACTGAGGAAGTCTTCCCCGCCTTGAACTGTCGCCAAGGACAAGCTTTTCCTCCCATAGCAGGCTGGAGAGCAGCCTGAGAGGTTTCCCTTGTCCCCTAAGTGAGGAGGCTGAGCCATAGCTGCCATAAATTCCAAGCTATCGTGGGGCAGAGGAAACCGTCAATGAAAGCTTCCAAATTATTTGGCTCATGAGAAGGCGGAGATGAAAGCGAGGATTTGGCGGCAGAGAGAACATTTGCACTAAATCTCGCTGGGCTATTCCTTTCTCTTTCTGTGAATGGGTTGGAGAGAAGGGCCTTTCTAGTCTGCTGGGCCTGGAGGCTCAGGGCTTTGGACCCCCTGATGGGACGGGATCTGGGAGCCCCATCTGCCCTGTCCCTCGCCCCTCCCCACCCCACCCCGCCTGCAGTAAGAAGCCTGTAGGGTGTTTGTCAGGCTGGTCACACAGTCTGCTCCATTCTGGCCCAAGTTCCCAGCCAGGATGTTTGCAAATTGATTTGAGTGGTGCAGGAGGCTCCTCCCTGGTGGCTACATGGTCCACTTGTCTTCTCATCTCTGAACGTGGATAGTGATGGGGTAAGGGGCTTGCGGCCCAGGAGTACTTAGCAGCAACACTAGCACATAGTGAAGCCAACAGCTATGGAAAAAGCTGGGGTTGGGTTTAGGCAAGACTGGAGGGGCTGCCTCTGTGATGACCTACCAAGGCCCGTCCTTCCCAGGGCACCCTGAGGGTGCCAATCCAGGGACACCCTCTGCACCAGAATGTAGTGCCCCGGGGCAGAAAAAAGTGCTCCAACCATGAGTCAGGACCCTGGACAGGGCCGAGGCCCTGAAGCCCAGCTTCTCTTCAGGCCCTTAACCAGTGGGTGGCCTTCCTCAGCTAGAGTGAAAAAGAGTGTGAGCCTCAGTGTTGGGGGCTGAAGGAACAGGCCCTAGGAGTCCTGGGAGGCTGGGTTAGGATTTTTGGTGGAAATACACCAAGATTGGCCCTAGGATCCCCTCTGGCAGAGGAGGATGAAGGTAGGGCTGATCCCAAAGGCACAGACTGCTGCCTTCTGCTGCTCTGCCTGCCTGCAGTATCCCAACAAAGCTGAGATCTGTTCCTTGGGGCTTAAAATTCTGAAGGAGGGGAAGGGAGTAGCCTGCCCTGGGGAGGTGGTTTTAGTGGAAAAACTGTGCTGAGGCCTTAGTCCTTGGTCTGGCCCATCTCACCAAATGGCATAATTGTTATTGGTGCTTCAGACTTTGTGGGTCCTATCTCTGTGAATCTGATGAAGATCACAGATCTCCATCTTATCTCACCCCCAGGAATTGTGACTTAAATGGTTTGGAGTGGGGCCCAACTACCTGTACTTTTGAAAAGCACTCCTGCTGGAAGCCAGGGTTAAATGCTACCATAGACCTTTCTTAATTTGCTCAGGCAGGAGTTCCTGGCTTGGGCCTCCCTGGAAGCTCCTGAGTGAGGTTGAGATGCTTTTTAACCTGATTCAGTGACCTAAGCAAAGGCAGTATGTGGGTAGGGGCAGCCCCCCAGCTCACCCCCAACCTACCCACCCCCGCAGCGGCTAGGGGACTGAGAGGTTTCTGCCAAGCCCTCACCCTGGCAGGGCAGATAAG